CATTCAAATAATGCATCTCATAATCTTTTACTGCAGTTATATCTGATCAAATGCACATTATTATTCTTTAGTTTGGGTTAAACAAATCAATTTTGCTTGGTTGGAACAGCAGCTACCCTAATTATGTCTATTTGTTTCTCAGTTTTTTGCCTTAACTAGGATTTACACAAGCTTCAGTCTGGATCCAGAACACCTGAGAAGAGATGATGCCAACCCTGAAACAACATACAGAACTACCACATTTTGCTATAAGTTTAATTGCATCATATAATAATTGCTGTTAATAGTGTTCATCATCTGTTTTATTACGTCTTAAATTGATTTTTCCGTACATTTCTGCCATATGTACATTAACTGACAGTCACCACTGATAAGCTACCACTAAATATTGTAGAAACTTAATTTGCTGTAAAGTTGCTTTGCAATGATTTGTATCGTGAAAAGCTCTGTACAAAATAAACTTGACTTGACTTGTGTAATGAAGTTAAAAGACCTCACCTGCAGCTGCCCCTTCAGCACCTGTTGTGCTCAAACAAACAGAGAGACACAATAAAGCAGCAATCAACAAACAACACACTCGAGCTCTCATCCTCTCGACCTCACAATACACTCTGCTGGAAAATGCTCTGATTTAGTAGATCACGAGGCTTTCAAAACGTGTTTTGAAATGCGTTTTTAAGGATCCAAGGAGGCCTGGCGCAACTCCAACTCTGATGAAACTCACCTGCCTGTTGCTGCCTAATCTTGAAGACCCTGATTAGGTTGTTCAGGTGTGTTTGATTAAGGATGGAGACAATTGAGACACGACAAAACACAGTCACTTGTCGCCATCTCCTGGAGTAGCCTAATTATGTAACCGGCACAAATTGACACTGAATATAATAATAATAATATTAATAAAGTTTGCAGTTTGCAGTCATTTCTCAATATACGGCCAATGTTTGTGAATTTGAATTTAATACATTTAAAATTCAAGTACCGAAATAGATGATTAAATAACATTTAGCATATAACCATGTGAGTAAGCTATAGGCCAGTGTTTCCCAACCTTTTTTTAGTCGCGGCACCCTTTGCAAATTTTAACAAATTTGTGGCACCCTACAAAATTTATTTTGTCACAATACTTGAATTTCTAACTTCGATATGATACTTTGAAAAATATATTCGGTACAGCAGGGAAGAACTGCAGAATATACTGTCATACTGATATTTTTAACATTATTAAATTTTTTTGTCCATCAATGGTGGCAATCAGTAGGCTAATTTCTAATGAAGAGACCAATTTATATGACAGATTTTAATGTAGGCTTTTATTCATATGTAAACATTGTTTAATTAACATTATAACTAGCTATCTCACAAAGTTTTGCTTACTTAAGAGTATTTTTGATTTTACAGTGGGGTAATTTTGTTGCAGTAGCACGATATTTGATTTCAAACTTTGAATTAAATAAAAAATGACAAGAAGTCAGTAATAAAATACGAACAAATAAAGAAATTACTAATGATAGCACAAATAAAAAAAATAACGATAGGCCTACAAATGAAATGAATTGCTTTTTAGTTTTTCAGGTAGGTCTAACTGTAGGACTATTAAGAGATTTAGTGCTTTTTTTTTTTTTATTTTTTACCAATTATCCAAATAATGTTTAGTCCTAGAAAAGTTATTATTATCAGAACACGCGAGCATAACATAGCGGTTAGCAGATCAATGAATGAGAGGGCAGCCTTACCAGAGTTGCCCATTTACCACACCATGTTACAACACAGTAGGGCTATTGTGTTCTTATCTGTTACTTATGGTTACTTATTAGGTTCCGTGTCTCGTTTAGTTGTGATTATCTTTTTTTATATTTAGAGCTTGATTCCTCCATACAGTGTTCAGTCTTGATTTAACTTGAATATGTGAGGGAATCAGGTCAGTTTACCTTAAAGTGGATAGGAGTGTGGAGTTGATACTGGGAAGTTGGGAAACAATAAGAGATGTTAAAAAAAAAGATTGATCTTGTAATAAATAAACCTGGAGTGACATTCTTTATTCCCAAAGATCTTAAAGCTTGAATTAGTTGAAATCTTGCTTTTTTTACATGCATCACATTTCATAAGTATGTGTTTTATGATTTAGAGCTTGATTCCTCCATACAGTGTTCAGTCTTGATTTAACTTGAATATGTGAGGGAATCAGGTCAGTTTACCTTAAAGTGGACAGGAGTGTGGAGTTGATACTGGGAAGTTGGGAAACAATAAGAGATGTTAAAAAAAAGATTGATCTTGTAATAAATAAACCTGGAGTGACATTCTTTATTCCCAAAGATCTTAAAGCTTGAATTAGTTGAAATCTTGCTTTTTTTACATGCATCACATTTCATAAGTATGTGTTCTATGATTTCTACTTGTCACAATTTCCAGTTTCATGTTTCCCTTTTGTATTCAGACATTAATTTTAAGACCAATGTCCGATACACATTCTTAGAATTAAAACATTCTCTTTCCTGTTCCCAAAATTTCTTCTTTCTAAACCCTCAGTGAGTCATACACCTCACTGAATGTCCGTACTAAACATAATGAAGCACTTTCCAAATCTCTTATTTTGAGAGATATTTTAAAGAAATGAGGCAATCTCTGCTGCTTATAGATTGATGTCATTAAGATGGGATACTTTAATTTTGCTTTCAAAACTTTTTGAAGTTGCTGAGATAAGCACTAAATGCCTTAACAGGAAAGTTCACAAAATTACAACTCATTTACCCTCATATCATTTCAAACCTGTATTTTCTTTTGCCTGTGGAACAATTATATTTTGAAGAACGTTGGGAACCAGTCACCGAGACATTTCTCAATATTTTCATTTCCACAGGTCAGACATGCTTGGAATTTCATTATATTCGCCAGCCAGACCACTGTAAGGACCACCCACTGGTCCAACGACAGACTCCAATGACGTGGGGTGAAAGATTCTGCAAGTGTCTTGTCTGCTGTTATTAAACAAATCACTTAATTGTTTTTCCAATTTATAATCCGACTCCATTTGGAATCTAATTCTAAATCCAATGTCAATGAAAACTTAATTTATAGTGGATCATAAGATTAGGTGTGCATTAACAATTTGGATATTTGATCTTTCTGGGCAACCCTTACTTTCAATTACTAATTCGCCCGGGACACAATGCCACAGAGGGGCAATGAATATGGTAACATTTAATATGAAAAAAAGTCAGCTACAGGTTCACAAATAAACCGCTTTATAAAAATGATAAATTCCACATTTGTCTTTAAACCGTATTTTAATAAAAGGGATGAGTCAAAAGTATCAATTTAAATCAGTCATTAGAACTAGATTTATAAAAAAAATAAGTCACTAAATACTGAATGTCTCACAAAATTATTAAACCAAGATTTACACATACTAAATCGCTCACATTAGTGTTATGCCCAGTTAAGACATGATTTTAGCCCAATTTTGCAACGATTTACTTGACGTAGGGCATCGTGGGGATTCGTAAATGACAATGGTCGTCAGGACGCAAGTCTCCATTTCAGCTCATGTAGCGCGTCAGTGAACAACAAATATCGTGTAGACAGAACCCGGCATTAACCCATGTTCTTGGTTTTATTTCTAGTAGCTTTATACTTCAGTTCAAGGATTTCCCACTACTTTTGCTGCCAAGCTCCTGGAGAGAGAAAGAGGGGGAAAAAAAAATTCCACACAACAGAAGTCTTGCTAAACAGATTTATTTGGTGACCGTAGGAGACCTCAAATAAAATTCCCAATGGTTAAACTGGCATGTTAGCTGCATGCATAGGTGGTTGGGCAACACTTCGGTCTGGCAGGACATCGATCATGGGAAGTGTTATCAGCACACATTTGGTCCGAGACATGGATCAGGCCTCACTGCATTGATACAGAGTCAGAATTAGTCGGTCCATTTAGCAGCAAACAGCACAAAACACACAAAGCATGAACCACAAGTTTTACTTCTACAGCAAGTTGTATTCCAAGTTTTATTAATTTATTTTGAAACGCAATGCACTTGAAATGGTGCTATGGGCCAAATTCAGGTACTTCATTTAAAAAAATAAATAAATAAACACGTGCATGCTGGGGAACAAAGCATCAATATAACATACCTTCATATGGAGGTGTACATTCACGTCCACATTTAGTGCTGCAGCACTTCTCATCGTTTGGACAGTCAATGTCATTGACACACAACTTTTTACACAAACCTATTCCAAGGAATCTCCTTGGACACACTCCTGGCTTCACTGTTGTACAAACAACAGGGAAACCAGATCACTGAATGACTCATCCACTAATTAATGCATTGGTCAAGAAACCTGACCAACGCATTAATATAACATACCTTTAGATACAGCCATACACTGATGTCCACATCCATTGCTGCAGCATTTCTCGTCATTCGGACAGTCACCATCTTGGGAACACATCTCAGCACACGCTCCCATTCTAAGGTTTTTGCTTGGACACACTCCTGGCTTTTCTGTTATACAAACACATGACACAGAAACCAGATCACTGAACGCCTTACTGCATGTGTATATCAAAAAAAAAAAAAAAAACAACACAGGCA